ATTTTTCTTGGCGCATACCGTGTTTGATAACCATTCTGGGAACTGCACCTCCCGGATAGTATTGGCCTCCAGGAGCTTATCGACTTCTTCGTTCACCGCCCGGGCGTGATCTGGCACCATGCGCCGTGGCTTCTGCTTTATTGGCTTGCGTGCTGGGTCCATATGTAGCTTATGCGTGATTACTTCGGGGTCCATCCCTTTCATTTCCATTGCGTTCAAGCGAACACGTCTGTATTTTGCCTTAAAAAGTCGGTCATCTCTTCCTGTTCGGCTGCAGGCATTGCGGAGCCAATCAGGAATTATCTCTCCTCATCACCGTCTACTAAGAACACCTTCCGGAGGTCTTATACTGATCGGTCCGTTGGGTCAGTCTGGGGGTTGTCCACTTCTGGACGCTCGGACTGTGATTGTTATTTTTCCAGGATTTCTTTCGGGGCACGCCTCTTCTCTTGGGTGAAAACCCTCGCTCTCACAGCCGAGTAAAAACATTTTTTTGAGGAAGCTTGGTCCCCTCGGATCTCCATTATTCCCTCCGGTGTAACAAACTTCAATTTCTGGTGATAAGTGGAGTGCACTGCCCCCAGCGCATGCAACCAAGCTCGCCCCATGATCACATTGTAGGGAGAGTCTGTATCAATCACAACAAACTCAGTGTTGATGGTGAAGGGACCCGTGATGACAGACAATGTAATTTTGACTACGGGCAGGACAAACGAGTCGTTAAATCTGACGAGGGACGTCCTCACCTTAGTGAGGTCTTTAAGGCTAAAGTCCATCCGCTTTAAGGTTTTGGAGTACATCACCTTCGAGGAACTTCCGAAATCTACCAACACCCTCTTGACATCAAACTTGCCTATTTTCAAAGTTATGATCAGGGCGTTGTTATGGGGAGTCACCACGCCTGCCAAGTCTGCGTCGAAAAACGTGATACCTGACTCGCCAGTCCTGGCCCTCTTACTGGGCGGGCCCCTATCGCCCTCGACAACTTTTCTTGTAAGGGCTACCCTCTTGAGATCGAACTCAAGCTCCTTGGACGTCGGGCGATCTAGCGAACACACGTGGATCACGTCTATGACGTTGTCTTGTACCACGGTCGGAGCAGGGGCATGTCCCGTTTCTGATTTGGGTTCGATGTACTCTTTCAAGTAACCGTCCTGGACCAGGCTTTCCAAGAAAGATTTGTACACTCTGCAATCTTCGGTGCGATGGCCAAAATCTCGGTGATAGGAGCACTTCATGTTCTGATCACAGGTGGAAGGATCACTCTGCATCCTAGGCGACCACTTGAAGAATGGCTCACGTTTGATTTTATAGAGCAACTTGTAGATGGGTTCCTTGAACACAATGTGAACACCCTTAAATGTCCCTCCTGGAGGGTGTACCAGCCGCTTTCAGGAGATGTCCTCCCACTCCCTCTCTTTTCTCCTAGGGGCGAGAGTTTCGCCTTTGTCGCCCCCCATCTCATCTTCGAACCTAGAGTATTTGTTTATTCGAGCCATCAATTCGCCCATATCTAAGGGAGTCTTCTTAGTCAGGGGTTGATAGAGGTTCGTGTCCCTTGCCAGGCTGAGCCTAAAGGATGCGGCCACCATGACTTCCGAACACTTCTCTATCTCATTGACCTCCTCCCAGTACCGGATGGCATACTGGCGAAGGATTTCTGGTTTCCTCCGCCTAAGAGTCAGTAATGAACCAATATCTTTGGGCCACTTACTCCCCGTAATGAATCGGGCTAAAAACTACCTCGTCAACTCCTTCTATGACCCAATGCCGTCGGGAGGAAGAGTCNCCTCCTCCCAGTACCGGATGGCATACTGGCGAAGGATTTCTGGTTTCCTCCGCCTAATGGTCAGTAATGAACCAATATCTTTGGGCCACTTACTCCCCGTAATGAATCGGGCTAAAAACTGCCTCGTCAACTCCTTCTACGACCCAATGCTGTCGGGAGGAAGAGTCTTGAACCACTTCATAGTGGAATCCCCTAAACTCATGGAGAACACTCGGCAGAGAAGTCGTTGGTTTGAGTGATAGAGGGACATCATTTGCTTGTATTGTCTGAGGTGAGCTTCAGGATCAGATCTCCCATCATAAGTTTTGAACCTTGGCACGACGAACTTCTTTGGTATCTCCATCTCTCGGATATCCCCAGTAAAAANTAGAGGTCCGTGTCCCTTGCCAGGCTGAGCCTAAAGGATGCGGCCACCATGACTTCCGAACACTTCTCTATCTCATTGACCTCCTCCCAGTACCGGATGGCATACTGGCGAAGGATTTCTGGTTTCCTCCGCCTAAGAGTCAGTAATGAACCAATATCTTTGGGCCACTTACTCCCCGTAATGAATCGGGCTAAAAACTACCTCGTCAACTCCTTCTATGACCCAATGCCGTCGGGAGGAAGAGTCTTGAACCACTTCATAGTGGAATCCCCTAAACTCATGGAGAACACTCGGCAGAGAAGTCGTTGGTTTGAGTGATAGAGGGACATCATTTGCTTGTATTGTCTGAGGTGAGCTTCGGGATCAGATCTCCCATTATAAGTTTTGAACCTTGGCACGACGAACTTCTTTGGTATCTCCATCTCTCGGATATCCCCAGTAAAAAGGGATTGCATTGCCTCGTCTTCTGCATCGTCCTGGACGGCCTTGCCCTTTTTTTTGGATTCCAGCCGAGCTCTGAGGTCAGTTTCCACCTCAGGGGGATGTCTTCTAAGGTTTCTAAGGTCGTTGATGGGGTTTCCCTTCTCCGGGCGTCATGTGGAAAAGGTTGAATCCTCCTCGGACTCGTCCCCCTTCCCGCATCTTGACAAGCTTCGCCAGAGGTCGTCCCAAGCCAAAGGCCTCACCTTCTTGGAATGACCATCGAGGGGGTGTTCATTGGCCCTTGGGCGCTTCGGGACCCTAGAACTCTCATCTTTGTTGTTCAAGTGATTTCTCAAGTCCTCGGTTTCTACTTCCCGGACGGAGCATCCGCGGGAATGGAATGAGTCTCTTGATCCATCACTAGGGGCTGCAAATTCATTGAGCCGGCTTAGGACATTCACATTATCTTTTTCTAACTACCGTAGTCGATCCCCAAACTTTTCTTCGATCACTTCTGCCAATTGACGAGCCAAGGGTGCAGATCCTCCTGACCCAATGCCCATACTGGTTAGAGGAGTATGCCCCCTTGACTGAACAGAAACGTTCCTATTGTCACCAACGTGATCCCTCCCCTGTTATGATGAGGAGCTTGTAACTCGAGACTTCGTTGCTGGGAACCTTTCCCTTCTGTTAAGTATTCACCATGATCATTGTTCTTTCTAGAAATGGAACTAAGAAAACTAGTCGTTTTCCACAGACGGCGCCAAGTTGTGCGTGCACGATCCTGCACAATATAAACACAAGAACAGATATTTTCCGTGATGAACACGTGTCCGTCGATCAAGTGGCCAATCTCATTACTTGGGATCGGTTGTGAGGGTCGAAGGTAGCCTAAGGAGGGATAATGAATCATTTTTATGATTCGCCTGAATGATCCTGAGAGGCTAAGGAAGGCTCCTGGAACAGAGAAAAATAGGTTAGAAGGGCGCCAAAGTATTTTTTGGCGTATCCCTTCCGACGATCAAGTCAGTTCTTTAAGAGAGGGGAAGAAGAAAACACTGTGTGATGGTTGAGAAAAGGTTTCTTTTATACCTCTTTTCTGTGTTTGTGAGGACTATTTATACCTTAAAAACTCATCATTGCTGACAGCGTAGCTAGTAGGTAATCATTGGAGGTGGGCAGTGTAATGTTCTCATTCTTTACTGTTCGGGACCCCGAGCAACTAATGATTTCTCCTCGGTCGGCCGAACGTTTAGTGATCTTCCCTCGGCGGGGGTTTATTAAATGCCTAGGCTTTGGGACATTTATTACCTTTCACTTTCAAGCTCTCATGTATTAAATGTTGTCTCATCAAGGGAAAGGTGCATTAAATACTTGCGTTCTCAAGTCGTGTGTCAGCAAGGGCATTCTGATCTTTTTGTCTCTGATCTGACACAATACGCCACGTGCCCATTCCCCTTTGGTTGAGCCTTCTGCTTTCTTGTGCCTCCTGACACCATTTGAATAAGACGAGGTCATGATGACTAGTCTAACCTAGCCTAGGCTAGTGATCAGTCCATCAATAACCCCTGTAGGAGCAGAAACGCCCATGTGGATAGATACACCTCGGTGCCGAAGGACTAGCATGATTTAGGACCGATATACCCAAACTGCCGAGGAATACATGTCGGTCCATGGTGGTTTGGGGATCCTTGATCCCTGTGAATAGCATCCTTGGGACAGGGGGGTTGAAAACCGACGAAGACATGTCGGGATCAGAGCGGGAGAGTCTCCATTAACGCCAAGTACACGTGTCATCATCTGGGAGTGTCTGAAAATGTCCCATCAATAATGTTTTTTTAAATCTCTTAAGTATTATTTGTTTAAATTTAATCGAAGCTTGTTCTCTTACATCAAACTAAATAGCATGCATAGTGATATAGATTGTCCATACAAGTGGCTTCAATGTTGTTCTTCTTGTTCAAATAGGTAGGTTTAATAGGAATTTCAAAGTTGAGAAAAGATATATCGTAGGATTGTTAGTTGTCAAATAAAAAACGTACATAAATAGGGGCGACTGTAATGAGATCTCATGTAATATATTTTTCCTCCACTCCACTCTTTATCAAATCATGTAACATAAATTCAAGTGTGACCCGTAGTACAAAAGTGGGTCTCTTACTAATACATAATACATAGTAGGTGATGTATAATGAAACTTAAAAGTCTAACTAATAATAATTTTAAAACCTTATGGCACCATGAACCCCTTGTTACAATATGGCTCCATCGCTGCTAATGTGGTCATTGACAGCTTGACATAACATATGGTCCAGCTTCCTGGTTATATATATCTCTCAAGTAAGGGCACCAAGGAGATGCTAGCTAGCTAGCTACATTTTCCATTGGGATTGTTGTTCTTCTTGATCTCAACTTCCATCAATGGAAGTAACAACGAAGTACATAACAATCAAGAATCACATAGATGGAACGCCACAAGAGTCAGATTTTCATGTTAAAACTGCTGTTCTTTCCCTAGCAGTTGAGCCTGGATCCAATAATGTTATTGTCAAAGTACTGTATTTATCGGTCGATCCGTATCAGATAAACCGAATGAAGAGACACAGCTCCACGCAGAGAGCTGTAGATTTTGCAGTTGGCATAACTCCTGGTGAGGTGAGTGCTTCTTTGTGACCCTGTCTCCTTGATTAGAGGTTGGTCATTGAGTGGCCTTGGTAGGGGTCAGGCTGTTTGGGCTCGGCTCGTTCATTTGTTCATGAAGAATGTTCGGGCTCAATTCAAGATCGTAATGAGTTTCAAATATCTTATTCAAACTCACCTCCTTAATTTTTTTTTCAAGCTTGGACTAGGCTAGACTTGCAAGATTAAACTTACTGAACATCATTTCCAGACTAGTATGTAAATATAAATAATAGCAAGATCAATTTGATTACGAGTCTCAGTGAATTGAGCATGACATTGCCCAAATTCGGCTTGATTATTGGACGAGCCTTGAAATTGGATTCTTATCTGGTTCATTTTATAAAGAAATGAACTTCAACAAACTCCAATATGATTTGTTTGACAGGCCATTGATGCTTTGGGTGTGGGAGAGTTGTGGCTTCTGGACACCCTCATTTCCACAAGGAGGATTTGGTTGCTGGGGTAGTTACATGGGGAGAGCATAGCATCATCAGAGGGGGTAATATGCTGCGTAAGCTGGATCCCATGGGCTTTCCATTGTCCTACAATCTTGGAGTTCTAGGTAATTTCTCATCATCAATAGCATTTATAAAAAGCTGGGTACAACCTGTTTAGATTTGCTAATTAGGGTTGTTAAACGATCTGAAACAACTCGATTTGGCCCTTCCAAATTTTTAAAAAGAATTGAATTTGAGTAAATTTCTAAGCTTACTTTGTAAATGACCTGACTTAAAGCTACGTATGACTCTATTTGAGTAGGCTCGACTTTTGTCTTTTAGGAATTTATTTATATATATATTTAATTGTATTGCCAAATGACTCTCCAGATACCCAAATAACTTTAGACCATATAGTTCTCTCTCCCTTTGTTTTCTAGTATATTTTTTAGAAATTTAAACTTCTATGTTTAATTTTGTGGTTAGTTATACAGTTTTTGAGAGATTTATATTGAGAAATTGATTAGTGTAAGATTCATTAGTAAGTTTAGGGCGTTTTTTTGAAAAGTTTTGTAGAGCTTTTGCCAAGAATCTAAGCTTAGCAGTCACACTCGTCTCGAGCTTAATCAATCACAAACGAACTGAATTTAACATACTCAAACTCAACGAGCTCGGCTCAATTAACACCCTTTTAGAGAATTTTACATAGCCGTGTGCTTGCTTCATCTGGTATCTGATCTTTACAGGACCCAGTGGACTTACAGCCTATTGTGGGTTCTTCCAAGTTTGTAAACCAAAGAAGGGTGAGAAAGTGTTTGTATCTGCTGCTTCTGGATCAGTTGGTTATTTGGTTGGACAGTTTGCTAAGCTTCTTGGATGCTATGTTGTTGGCAGTGCTGGAAGCAATGAAAAGGTCATCTTGTTATATTCCTTTTATTTTACCTGTCATGAGATTGTCAGATTCCTCCTGTTTGTAGTTTAAGGTTGAATGTCATAAAATAACAAATTGATTTGATCACATTATAGTGTCCCATTAATTAAGGATCCTATGTTAAATTCATGTCACAAATTTTTTTTTTTTTTTGGTTTCTTCTCCCCCGAGATTGTCATAAGAATCAAAATTTTATTTCATTTCGGAATGTTTCAAAATCAAGATTCTAAATTCTCTATATTGTCATTCTATTTTTGAAAACAACTCTACGACGCTTCCGTTTCTGATTTAACCGAATTAATGCTCTAAAACGAAAATTTGATATTTGATTGTCATAGCTAATCAATTTTTTAGCTCTTAACACCTTATAGAATTTTAATTTTTCAGCTAATTAAATCCTGTAATTTACTCAAATTCTAGGTAGAGTTGTTGTCATACAATAAAAAATTTTATTTGATCACATTATAATGCCCCTAATTAAGGTTCCCTTTGTTAAATTGACGTCACAATAATTTTTTTTGTTTTCTTTCTCTCCTGGGATTTGCCATAAGGATTAAAATTTTATTTTGTTTCGACATGTTTTAGAATCAATATTTTAAATTTCATGTGTTGTCATTCTATTTCCGAAACAACTCTCATATGTTTCCGTTTTTTAACAATGTTTTAAAATGAAATTTTGGTCATTGATTGTCGTATCCTGCAATTTACTCAAATTTCAGGTAGAGTTGTTGAAAGAGAAGCTTGGTTTCGATGATGCATTCAACTACAAAGAAGAAACGGATCTCAAGTCAGCACTCAAAAGGTTAAAATCCCCTCTTAATTTTTAATCATGTGTGTGAAAACTCAGAAAACTAGTGATTGCCACGTTAGAATGTGTTTTTTCAAGAACATGTTTGGCCTAGGGGTACAAATAGACCAAATCGAGCTGAACACTAGACTGTTTGGACTTGACTTGTTCATTCACGAAGAGTGTTTGCGATCAAAACGTGCTTCAACATCTTGTTCAAATACAACTCGTTGATTTTTATACCGGCTTGGGCTCAATCAGCTAATATGATGAAACCAATCGAACTCGAGCTTGTGTTCAAGTTTAAACTCAAGTTCAGGCTCGTATTCAAGATCAAGCTTGCTTGGCTAAACAAATATAAATGTGATATATGACATATGCATAACAATGTATGTGCTATATATATACAAATAACTATCTTATATTACTTATTAATTCTAACATTTTATATCCATATAGAAATATATTTACAAGCTGAACAAATGAATATGCTTGCACGACTCTTTTATTGAACTATCCTCAAAATTGAGCTTGAACCTTTTTTTTTTTTGATATGAAACGACAAGCTTTATTAAATACTAAATGAGAATATCCTTCCGGAGAAGAGGATCCAAAAATTCTGGATATTCCTCTCTCCATGCAACAGAATTATTACAATGAAAAACATAATGAGCTAATTTATCAGCCACATCGTTAGCAGAACGCCTCACCCACGAAGTAGAAAACTCATGGAAATGTGTGGCAAACTTCTGGATCTATTCAATGAAAGCTCCAGAGTTGGAGAAATTTGGTTCCTCGCTCCTAATATCATCCACAACAGATTTTAAATCCCCTTCTAAAATAATACTTGTTAACCCCAGCTCCACCGCATAAAAAANAACGCCTCACCCACGAAGTAGAAAACTCATGGAAATGTGTGGCAAACTTCTGGATCTGTTCAACGAAAGCTCCAGAGTTGGAGAAATTTGGTTCCTCGCTCCTAATATCATCCACAACAGATTTTGAATCCCCTTCTAAAATAATAATTGTTAACCCCAGCTCCATTCCTAGCTCCACCGCATAAAAAGCAGCCAACGCTTCCACACATTCAACACTCAAAGAACTTTTAACTAGCTTGCATAATCCCCCAATGAAACTTCCTCTCAATCTCTGGCAACAACCCCAATCCCCACTACTTTAATATAACTGAAAATNTGAATCCCCTTCTAAAATAATAATTGTTAACCCCAGCTCCATTCCTAGCTCCACCGCATAAAAAGCAGCCAACGCTTCCACACATTCAACACTCAAAGAACTTTTAACTAGCTTGCATAATCCTCCAATGAAACTTCCTCTCAATCTCTGGCAATAACCCCAATCCCCACTACTTTAATATAACTGAAAATAGCCCCATCAAAATTTATCTTCACAGAACCCAGAGGAGGAGCAGACCAGTGATACAAACCAGCAGGTGAAAAAGAAGTATTAGTTTGGGTTTTACGAACCTGCGCCTCCATGAAGTGATGTAGATACGATCTTGAAAAATCTACCACTTGGCTAGGGGATTGGACAACCCCTTCTAGGCGAGCCTTGTTTCTATTGTACCAAATAGACCAACAGATAATTAACACAAGACTTATCTCCAATGATGGTAAGCATCCTGAGGCAACCACCAGACGTTATGGAATGAAGTAGCTGAACATTCTGGCATCTTGATCCCAGATTCCAACCACACTTGTTTCGCAAAAGGACATTTTAAAAGAACAATNTGAACATTCTGGCATCTTGATCCCAGATTCCAACCACACCTGTTTCGCAAAAGGACATTTTAAAAGAACATGGACAGTTAATTCATGGGCAGCACCACAGAGAAAACAACTATTTTCGACATTTAATTTCCTTCTAGCAAGATTGCACTGTGTTGGTAGAATATCTTGGAGTGCCCTCCACGCAAATAGCTTAACTTTGTTTGGAATATTTAAACTCCACACAAATGCACCACCCCATTGTCCTTGACTACAACCAGATTCACCACGGGATCTGGAATCCATAATCAAATGGTATGCACTTTTGACCGAGAAATTCCCCGACTTTGTATAGTGCCATACTTGCTGATCATTTGGGAAACTTGGACAAATTGGAATTGAGAGAATTTCTTCTGCCTCAAAATTCAGGAACACCTCATATAGCTTGTCAATCTTCCAAATCTTTAAATCATAATCAATCAAGGAACTCACAAGAGCATCATCATCTAACCCCGAAAGTGGACTAATAACCTTAAAGCTATTCGGTCTTGGAATCCATCTATCAAATTTTATTTTAACATTTCTCCCATTGCCAATCCGCCATCGTAGACCCTCCACCACGTACTTTCTAGATTCCAGCATACTATGCCAAGTAAATGAGGGTTTATAGCCTAGCTGAGCCTCCATTATTGATGTATTTGGGAAATATTTAGCCTTTAACACCTTACCCAACAAGGACGATGTATATTGAAATAGCCTCCAGATCTGTTTTGCAAGAAGGGCGTAATTAAATACTTCAATATTCCGAAAACCCATCCCGCCTCTATTCTTCGGTCTACATAGTCTCTCCCAAGCTAACCAATGTATTTTCCTCTCAGAGCCTTTACCACCCCACCAGAACTTTGCCATCAAACTATTCAATTTAGCACATAATGTAGAAGGTAGCTTAAAACACGACATAGCATATGTCGGAATAGCTTGCACTACTGACTTAATAAAGGACTTCTTTCCCAGCACGTGATAAAAGTTTCTCTTGCCAGCCTTGCACATTCAACCAAACCCTCTCACGAATGGAATTAAAAAATGGTGCGCTTTGTTCTTCCAACCATGGAAGGAAGCCCCAAATATTTATCATGGTGTTCAACTACAGGAACTCGTAACATACTCTGAATCTCACCCAAAACAGTTGGCGAGGTATTCTTACTGACCATAATAGCTGATTTAGAAAAATTCACTACTTGTCCAGATGCCAATTCATATTTATGGAGACATTCCATAATAGCCTCACAATTCCCCCTAGTAGCCTGGGCGAAAAGAAGACTGTCATCCGCAAAAAATAAATGGGAGAAACTCGGCCCTCCTCGTCCTGCTGCCATTCCTTTGAGACTTCCCCTAACCTTTGCTGCTCTTAAAAGTGCTGAGAAACCTTCGGAACACAATAGAAATAAGTAAGGTGAGAGAGGATCCCCCTATCGTAAGCCTTGTTGCGGTCTGAAACAGCTTGATTGCTCCCCATTAATTACAAGAGAATAGGNGTAGCCTGGGCGAAAAGAAGACTGTCATCCGCAAAAAATAAATGGGAGAAACTCGGCCCTCCTCGTCCTGCTGCCATTCCTTTGAGACTTCCCCTAACCTTTGCTGCTCTTAAAAGTGCTGAGAAACCTTCGGAACACAATAGAAATAAGTAAGGTGAGAGAGGATCCCCCTGTCGTAAGCCTTGTTGCGGTCTGAATACTGACGAAACACACCGCATTATGATTCTCACCCAACGCTCATCAAATCCCATTCTACATATCATTGATNACCTTCGGAACACAATAGAAATAAGTAAGGTGAGAGAGGATCCCCCTATCGTAAGCCTTGTTGCGGTCTGAAACAGCTTGATTGCTCCCCATTAATTACAAGAGAATAGGATACTGACGAAACACACCGCATTATGATTCTCACCCAACGCTCATCAAATCCCATTCTACATATCATTGATTCCAGAAAACTCCACTCAATTCTATCGTAGGCCTTACTCATATCAAGTTTGAGTGACATGTATGCCTTGCCTCCCTTCTTCTTCTGCTTTAGACAATGATTAAACTCCTATGCAATAATGACATTATCCGNGCATTATGATTCTCACCCAACGCTCATCAAATCCCATTCTACATATCATTGATTCCAGAAAACTCCACTCAATTCTATCGTAGGCCTTACTCATATCAAGTTTGAGTGACATGTATGCCTTACCTCCCTTCTTTTTCTGCTTTAGACAATGATTAAACTCCTATGCAATAATGACATTATCCATAATCAGCCGTCCTGGAAGAAAAGCACTTTGGTACTCAGAAATTATTGTGGGTAAGATTCTCTTCAATCTATTAGCAAGAACTTTCGCTATTAGTCTATACACAACGTTGCACAAACTAATAGGCCGAAAGTGTGTCATGTTTTCTGGGTTTGGGATCTTAGGTATCAGTACTATGTGGGTGTAGTTAAGATTGTAGCATGGGTTATTTGAGTTTAGTAAATCCAACACAACTCTTGTGACATCACCACCCACTACAGGCCAGAATTTCTGAAAAAAAATTGGACCCATACCATCTGGACTAGGAGACTTATTTGGGTGAAATTGGTTCAATGCTTGAAGCACTTTGGATGGTAGAAATTCTGCTAACAGGATGCGGTTCATGTCAGGTGAAACACACGGTTCAACACTAATTGTGACTTGCTCCATCTGTTGAGAAGAAGGACGCATTGACTTGAATAAATCCGTAAAATATTTTACTGCTGTTTGTTCAATCTGTTCTTGCTCTGTAACCCAAGTGCCCTCCTAATCTGTAAAATTGAGCTCGAACTTTATTCATTTGATAATTGAACGAAAAATAAAACGAGCATTGATCCGAGTTGATCCCGGTTCATGTGCATGGTGCATTTTTTTTTTTTTTGGACAGATACTGCCCTGATGGAATTGATATGTACTTTGACAATGTGGGAGCTGAAATGCAAGAAGCAGCAGTAGCTAACATGAACACATTCGGCAGAGTTGCTGTTTGTGGGGTAATCTCCGAGTATACAGACAGTGGGAGACGAGCTGCACCCCATATGCTCGACGTTGTGTGCAAGAGAATCACAATTCAAGGCTTCTTAACTGCTGATTACCTAAACATATACCCAGAGTTCATTTCAACAATGGCTAATTACTTGCACGATGGTAAAATTAAGGTTCTTGAAGACATTTCATACGGGGTGGAGAATGTCCCCTCGGCTTTTATTGGACTATTTCGCGGCTATAACATTGGGAAGAAGATTGTTGAAATCGCAGATAACTGATTACAACCATTTTGCTAGAATAATAGCGTCGAATAAAAGTTCTATGGTATTGTTTTCTTGATATGCTGGTTTGCATCTTTTCAAGTTGTACTGAAAATGTTATGACCGGAGTCTCATGCGTTGGACTATTTTTTTTAGTTTTAGTAGGTGAACATAGAAGTTCGTTAACTTTGATGGTAAAATTGATCTATGTAGTGGGCAATCAAGCACTAGTTTATGGTCACTTGTCACTAAGATAGTGTAAAGAGAGTGGTGAGGAATAGAAAGACTAACAAAGCTGGAGATCTTTCTCAATGTCAAGGCCACTATTGAGGTACTACAANTAAACACCCCGAAACTTCGCCCCGTCGCTTGCCACCCACCTTAACCTCTTGGATTTTCCAATTTGCAGCTGGGATAGGGTGTTTAGCCTTGCGAGTCCACTTCCCTTTGCCTTTGCTAGCCAGATTCAGATCCTTAACTGCCCCAATGTTTAACTTAGAAGATGAAGAATATTTTCCAGAGAAAGACGTGTCTTCCATATGGGTTGGATCATTTGGATATTTAAAGGAAGAACCCCTATTTTCCACAGGTTCAAAAAACTCCAAATGGGCTGTAGTTGGATAATTTGAAATTAGACCCACCTCATACAAATCACTTACTATGAGGACCTGGTGAGTTTCTGTAGGGCCCAAAGATGCTAACCTAACTGAAGCTTCCTCATCCCTCTTTTCCTTGTTTAAAGCACTACTTAAATGGGCTGTAGTTGGATAATCTGAAATTTGACCCACCTCATACATATCACTTACTATGGGAGCCTGGTGAGTTTCTATATGGCCCAAAAATGCTAAACCAATTGGAGCTTCCTCATCCCGCTGTTCCTTGTTTGAATCACTACTCAAATTCTCATTAAGAATCTGTGGAGAGATTTCCTCTTACCGAGTTCCCTCCTTTTCATTAGGCTCCCTTTGATTACTCTCCCTGATTTCCGGCCTAACAACCCGCATAGAATCCCTTTGTGAACGCCCATAATCAAGCCCAAAAAAAAGTAGTCGGATTAGAAACCACAGACATAATCTCCGAAACTCCAGACTCATTCCGATGCCTCAGAACCAACCTGGACTTGGTAACAGTAGCGTTTAACCATGCCCCATACTGATTCTCAATCCCTTTATCCTTCTTCACTATCTCAAGCAGCCCAGTACATTGTTTCACAGTGTGCCTTGTTTTACCACAATGAAAGCACATCTGTGGTAGCCTTTCGTATTAGAATAAAGCAAAATGGGTTTCCCCATCCTGTCCCAAAGTTTAATTCCTTGACGAAACAGAGCCTTAATATTCACACTGACCCTCAACCGCATGAATTTGCTCCCATTTCCAAACTCTTCACAAATTTCCACGACCTCCCATTCCTTAAAACTACCAACAACTTTGATTGCCATTTCCTTAGTAAAACATTCACGAGGAAAACCATTTACTTGAATCCAAAATTGGACCAAATCAAATGAAATTGAGTTTATACCAACACCTTTGGACCATCGTCTAGTAACTAGCAAAAAATTATCAAAACACCATGGACCTTGACACATAATTTTATAAATCTCCTTCTCCTCCTTCAAGAAAATTTAGAAAATATTAGAAGCGATCCTCGTAACTCTCAGATCGCTACACCTCCAAACCCTCGACATTGTGTTCTTTAGGGCTATTGAGTTTACAAATTTATCTGTCAAAATCTTCGCATAAACACTCAAAGCACACTCCTCCAGACCTTCTGCAATATCATCAATACCGAAATCAATAGCCACATCCTCTTCCTCTGTAAAAGAAAAAGTCTGAAGCTTTTGAATCAAACCCTCTTCCATAAAGAATCCTCCAAGAAACCAAACAACCAACCCTAAACACAAGAAAATTGAAAGGGAAAACCAAGGCTCTGTTCCAATCAACGGAGAAAATATGAGACCACAATCCAGTTAAGAAAAATATTCAAAAGAAAAGACAAATTAGTTAAGAATAGAAAAGTTCGGATGAAAGGAAAATAAGAAGAAAAGAAAGAGACTCCTATAGGTGACCTAAGGAGAGGACTCTCTCGAGATATTCGTTAATGGCCAAGGTCTTTCAAAAGGTAAAACAAATCCCAAACCCATTTGAATAGAGATATTACTCAAGTTGGGACTATGTTCTATACCCAATCCGAATGTAACCTGAATTGTGAACTTGAATTCAACCCGAATGAACTTGAGTTTTTCAATCTGGGTTGTATAATCATAGAACCATATCCCAGTTGAATCTTAGAATTTGATATGCGCTTGAATTTAAATTCAAATTAAACATGGATAGTATTAGGGTTGAAACGTTTGATTTGCACTCAAATTGAGTGAATTTTGATAACTTAATGTAACGCCCCGATTTTTCATTCAAGGCATTAACTATCTATACATCATCCAAGCCATAAGAGCATACTAAAATACTTTTAAATAAATAAAAATTATTCAACATTCAAAGACTAACTAGATAAATCTCAAAAAAAAAAAAAAAAAATAAACCAATCATTAAGTTTACATGCAAATATCAAAACAATAATCTTATTCTTTTTTTTAGTTCAACAGTCAGGGGTATCTGGATAAGCTTACATGCACCTCGTCCAATCTCTTCCCTTATCCAGTCAAATGTAGGTCATTCACACTGGAACTAGGGTATTCATGAGAGACAAATCCCTCGCGGTCTTACCCCAGGGGTTGTCAAGATTCAAACTCAAAACGTTTGAGTTTACAGCTCATCTCTATTACCACATGTAGGTCTCATTTAATAAAATAACATATCATAATTTGAAGTAAAACCATGGCAATTAATGAGATCTTAAGTTTACAATACCAACTATAAAGTTCATAAAGAAGAAAGAACAATTCTCAAACAATAATTGATAACCACAAATATATCTCAAGTACGCAGGTCAACTAGCATAAATATACACATCGATAATATATTGGTCCAAACATACTTATACACAATTCTCCACCCAATCCTCGCAAGGATACACCATTTTAGAAATAGTGTATACTAACACATCGGCATTGAAAAATCCTTCTTAAGAATAGTATACTAGCCCCTAACCTCGATTCCCATGAACTAATAATGCGACTTCTTGAACTTCGCAAGAAACCAAACAATTTCACTACAAGTGATAGGGAACTTTCTATGATATTTGGTCGAATGTAAGAAATGTATCTATGCACTCTATGATATCCAATCGAAGGTAACCCACGTTCATCACCCCATCAATACAAGAGACAATTTTCATAAAGTCCGTATATAATCATGAATCACGGTTCCACAATTGTCAAAATAGGATAATTTGGAGAAAGCATGCAAGAGATCTCCAAAAAGTATTTTTGAATTGATAATAATCAAGAAGTAGGGTTTTTTGAAATCAAGCACATTAGATTTGTGATGTAAAACATGTAATTCTTCCAAGAAACAGATCATATTATGAAAAAAAGTATAAAAGCATTGTATATCTATCATATGTAATTGAATAGAAGACAAACCATGTATACAAGTAATTCTAATTCTCAATGAGTGAACTTGATTAAGAACCCTATCTTAATTTTCGTACACGTTGATCCTAATACGTTTTGATGTAGTTCCCTCATGTTAATCTGACAGGATCTCTCCCTTTCCCTTTTCCTCAACTTTTTTTGGCTTTCTAGGATTGAAACAATGGTTAAAATAGCCTAAAACCTATCCCTAGGATATTTATAGGGTGAAAAACAAGAAAAACGCTAAAAATTGNACACGTTGACCCTAATACGTTTTGATGTAGTTCCCTCATGTTAATCTGACAAGATCTCTCCCTTTCCCTTTTCCTCAACTTTTTTTGGCTTTCTAGGATTGAAACAACGGTTAAAATAGCCAAAAACCTATCCCTAGGATATTTATAGGGTGAAAAACAAGAAAAACGCTAAAAATTGATTGGGCAAACTTCAGCGCCATTTTTTGACGATCAACTTGCGTCTAGATGGTTAAAACTCACTACTCAAAACCTGATAGGTGCATCTTGATGGTCAAAATTTTCTATTAGAACCTTCAGAGTTGCATTTGGACGTTCTCTTCGCGTCTCGACACGGGTAATTTTTTGGCCTAGACTTTCAACTTGATTTCGACCTAATTAGAAGACAATTTATGAAATTTTCATGAAATACACTTTTGTAACTCTTGAAGTCTAGTTTCTACTATTCAAAAATAAGAGTAATCAGACGTCGGGGATAAAACAATACCTTAAAATACTAAAGAATTGTCAAATTTGTTTCTACCTGAATTCTCTCCAAAATAGNTAGAAGACAATTTATGAAATTTTCATGAAATAAACTTTTGTAACTCTTGAAGTCTAGTTTCTACTATTCAAAAATAAGAGTAATTAGATGTCGGGGATAAAACAATACCTTAAAATACTAAAGAATTGTCAAATTTGTTTCTACCTGAATTCTCTCCAAAATAGGTTTTAACTCTTGAATACTTTTAAATTTTCAATATATCCCATATAACGTCTCTCAAGTTTTTTCGACTTCCTAGATTTAATGGTAGTCTTATTTTGACCTAAAATTATTTAGAAACTTACCCAGCCACATTCTCAAGCTTAAACATCTCTGAAACTATCGACACGTAAGTCAATACGTGCAAAATCCAAATTTTATGATTAATCATTCAACAACAANCGATATAACATCTCTCAAGTTTTTTCGACTTTCTAGATTTAATGGCAGTCTTATTTTGACCTAAAATTATTTAGAAACTTACCCAGCCACATTCTCAAGCTTAAACATCTCTGAAACTATCGACACGTAAGTCAATACGTGCAAAATCCAAATTTTATGATTAATCATTCAACAACAATTCAAAACTTTTATCATTCTTTTGAGAGTATGCTTAATATCATTTTATTCATCTTTAAATTTTGTATAGAGTCTTACACTTAAGTTTTAATTTACCTCTCAATCAACACAATAAGTTACATCTTGGCACTAAAACTCTACCATCCGAGCTATTATGACGATTTCAAATTTCTTTTGTTTGAAATAATTTTTCCATGTTTATAGTATTAGGGCTCAGTTACGATTTAGAAATACAATTTTTTGTTATCGTATATTTATTTTTTATCCAATAAAATTGTGATACGTGTAAAGTGTACTTATTTTATTATATTGCAATATTAGTTTATTAGTTTTGATGATGCACAAATTGGTTTACACACCACTAATCAGGTAAATAGAACAAAATGAAATAAAATAAGTAGATGGAGAGAGGAAACAAGGTTTATAGTGGTTCGGTCAACAAGACCTACGTCCACTTTTAATGGTTAAGTTCGCCGAGAAGTTTATTAGCTCCGGTGTGTTGGGAGAACAAAGAAATACAAGAGAGAAGAGATGAGCTTGATTTTGTTGAGATGCCCCCCAAGTGGTGGGAGAGTTTACAATTTATAGAAGCCTGTGTAGTAATTGAGTAGCTTGACAGTTATAACGGACTGGAGGTAACTTAATTGCTGATGACGTCTCCTCTTCTTGGCGACCTCTCTTCTCCTTGGCGACCTCTCATCTTCCTCAACGGACAAGGGTATAGCTCCTGGATGCTCCTGTAGCTCCCTGATGGGCTTGACCGTCTTGAACCTCATAGGGCTTGCTTGGTCTTCTATAAACTTGGGCTTTTTCCCATGGATTGAGCCATTTGGGCTTGACCCATCATTTGCCCTCCAATGTCCCATGTCCAATGAAATTTGGAGAAGTGGGCATTCAACTGAATTTGAATTCTAACCCAAGAATACTCTTCACCCGCTACATCCATGTTGCGCTATGACAACGGGGATGGACCTGCCTGGATAGGTCGCGGAGTTCCACCTGCCTGGTCAGGTGGCGGGGGCTCGGGGGCAGCGCCCCTGGACCTTAAAACGGTTTTTTGAATCAGACACCAAGGCTCCATCTCCATTCTTGATGTAGTTTGCCTTGCTGAACACCTCAAATATTTTCCATTTTTATTTGGATTTTTAAGAGAGCCCTTGGTTTTTAATTTGGGCTTTTTAGGTGTTTTTGCCTCTCCAATTAGATTTTAAAATCCTAGCTATAAATAGAGAACCCACTTTTCATCTTTACTCTTTCAGTCGTTCTTGGGAGAGGAGGAGGTGGAGCATTTCTTGAAACCTTCCAAGAACATATTGGAGAGATTTTCTTGTGTTCTTTGTAGACCCAAGGTTTGATATTCTTGAGTTTGTGTACTGAGTCATCAATATCGATTGTAGAAGAAGAGATTCAAGCTTCCATTGATATCAAAGAAGGAGAAACCATCATTCAATGGAGCTTAGGAGAGAATGGCTTCGGTGTTGGAGTGGAGGCACCGTTGGGTGCTGCTAGGCGAGCACCTGTTGTGCCCGAGATAGGGGTACTGGGCGCCCCTTTTGGTGCTAGTTTTATTGGGTTTGGCGAGCAGGAAGGCAGGCATGACGTTGGCGAGGCTGGGCGCGTGCCTGCTATGCACGCAATGGAGGTTCTGGGCGCTGAGCATGTTGATTTCTCCGCTGGGCACACGTCTGTTGTGTGCGCAATAGAAGTTCTGGGCGCTGAGCAAACTGATTTTGGTGCTAAGCAAGTTATTTCGGGCGAGAAGAACACTGATTTGGGTGCCAATCTGGGTGCTGAGCAAGCTGATTTGGGTGTTGAGTGCGCGCCTACTGTACTGCTGAACGTAAGGGAGATTGATCTGGGCGAGCAGGCGGGGCAGACAACTTTGGGCCAGCAGTCTGCTGCGCTGAGCAGACCAGGCCAATGGCCTGCTGGGCTGATAGCCTACTGCACTGAGCAGCCTAGACGAGCAACCT